TACGGTTGGCAATAATTAGTCCTCGGTAAACCAATATTGTGGATATCTTTTTACAGCTTCAATTGACAGACCATTTACCACTTGAAATAACATTTTTACATTAGTAAAAATCCAAAACGTCATTTTTTTGGTCAATTTTAGAATTTATAAATTCATATGTTAAAATTAGGGTTGGGTGCGGCTTCGTTATCGACCAATCGATCCACTTTCGCCTTACTTTTTATTGACCGATACTTGATAATTAAACAATCCATAAAGTCGGATTGATAATTTTAACCGACCCATGAATGAATTGGTCGGTCGATGATTTTCAATTTTCAAAAGTCGGTTGGTCGGGTAAAATGACCGATGATACTAACCAACCGACCCATATGGTCGGTTGCCAATCATTATCTGACCCATAATCATGGGCGAGTCCAGTCCTTTAACAGGGTGGACTCAAGTCCACCCTCAATTTCTATTTTTTTTCCTATTTATATCTATATATCTATTAAGTCCATCCAATTTTTATTAATCAGCCCATCCAAAATTCAAATTAATGCAAAAGAAGCCTCAATTATTGTTAATTACTCCACCTAAAATTCAAATTAATGCAAAAAAACTATAACTTTTTTTTTTCTTTTCTTCCTTTTTTTTTTTTTTTTTTTTTCCTATTTTCTAATTTTGTCATAAAAAAAGTCCTAAATTTTTTTGGGGGCGCTACTCCCGTACCCCCGAAATTTAAACCCCCCTGAATCAAATTTCTGGACTCGCCACTGCCCATAATGGTCAGGCCGGTAATAATTTTCAATATTCAGCAAAATCGCGTGGTCGAACTGGATATGTAACTGACTGACAATTGTCCATTCCAACCCATGCCCAGACCTAGTTAAAACGGCATGTTCAGGATCATCCTATGCACGTGGCATACAACCAAGAAACTTGATATTGGAGACCAGCTCGATCTTGACCCTTAATATAAAAAGGCTATATTAGAGTTTAGACCACTTTTTATTTCATTATTAAAGAAAGGAGTGAGTATTATTTACTAGTTCTTACCTACTAATCAAAATATAAACTCTTTTTTACTATCCACTTGCCATTAAAAAATACTAACACAACTTATAATTCAATTTTATTGAAAATTAAGTAGAAGAGTGGGAGTTGGAGAGAAAATGGGCAATTGAACCAAATTTGAACCCAAGTTGAAATATAAATAAATAAAAAATCAATTGGAACAAGAATTGACTTTACACTAACTAGTCACATGATGTTTGAATTCAAATTCATGAATGCAATAAGCATTAAAAATAATAAAGTGAGAGCAAAACATCTATTTTTTCTTTCTTTTTGGTTGGAAAAGATTTTATTTTTATCATGTGGATTTTTTTTTTCAATCGAGCCATGTGAGTTTGGTAGGGATAGAAATGAAAGTGTGAATTAGAGAGTAAAATCAAACAATAATTATTTGAGTTTGGTATTATGATGATTTGGAATATATATACCCAACATACTTATGCATCCAATTTTGGAATACATCCAATCAATTCAATGCCGATATTGACTTATCAGGTTATTTTTATGCCACGTCCGTGTATTTTACTATTAATCTACGTACATCAATGTGGGTGAATATGTATTTGTGTACTTATAAACAATAAATATTTACTCGATGTATTTCACCTTATGTAGCATAATATAAAACGATTTATCATTAATCTATATGTTGTAAATATACATATATATATATACACACACACGGGCAAAAAGATGCTGAAGAAGAAAATAAAAAAATTGAAAAAGTCAAAATTTGTACTCAAAATTGAGTTTTAGATCAAAATTGAATAATTTGAAAAACTTTGGGGTCAAATGTATAAAAAAGTTTTTTGTATGGACCCTTTTGTGAAGAAATATTCAATAATGGGCTTATTTGTAATAGACCCAAATAAATAAATAATATATCAGGTTCAAATCCCTAGGCTAATTCATGTGACTCCTGCCTGGTATGATGCCCAAACGTGGGCCCTACATGTTATCAGGATAGAGGGGTGTTGCCACGTGGAAGTTTGATCGGTCCAGATTCTGTGTTACGTGTATTCCGGGGCCCACTTAAGACGTCCGTTGTTACGTGCCTGCACGCTCTAAATAAGGGTAATATCGTCTTTGAATAATATTTTAGGTCACGGTCCAAATAGTTTAAATAACTTGAGAGTTGTCACCTAATTGAAAAATATATTTTGGGATGAATTCAATGATTATAAATTACAACAGCAATGTAAATTGTATATAATTATATAATTAGTTGCATTAACTTGTGGAAAATCGAGATTTTACTTAATTATAATATTTTCATTAAATAATTTAGTTATTTATTTTTATTTTTTTTGTCACATGCAATTTAATAAACATTCTCCAACCTAATGCTGGAAACATGCTTAAGCATGTTGTGTAGTCAGCATGTAAATTGGGATATTATCTTAAGTGCGAATCACATGTGATATGATCTAAAGTTTGAGTGCTAATTATTATTTTTATTTTTAATTTGGTCAAAGCTTAAGATGAAAGGATTAATTTTGGTTACAAAACAAAAATGAATATTAATACTATATCGATGAATAAATTAAATAGTTGGGTTCAAAGGAGTGACAGAATATTCAATGAAAATGAAAAATCAATGCATACAACATATATATAATTACTTCACTATCTTTGAAGCAAAGTTTTGAATTGGCAATCATAATTATGTAACCCCTTTTCATTTTAACACAATCCTAACTCCATTATGTTTTTTTTCTATTAGTTTGATAAGAAGTTCTAATTTTCATAAAATAAATATCTTAAACAACATAGTATACAAGAAAGAATCCCCGCAAGAGATGGATCAGCAGTCGGAGCAAGTGAACATGTGTCAATTGACCTAGGCTCAAATCCTGTTGTCAACAGTCGCTAGTCTCACATGGTTACATTAGTGTAATTTACGTCTTTCGTATAGTTTGCAAGTTATTATACGAGAGCGTAGGTTTACCCAGTGCACCTATATGATTGGATGCAAATTCCTTAATTACCAAAAAAAATATATGTATATAGATTGGAGCGTTGTAAATTCGAGGTCACTCGAAGATTTGAAAAATACGATGTATACTTTATTTTATAAATATCAACGATAGGCCCCAATTTTAAGCAAAACACGACCAAACAAAATTTTATTAATATAAATAAAAATTTATAAATTAATTGTTGGAGTAACACATTGTATCATCAATGATTATAGCTCTTTGCACTAATTAGCCTTGATACTCAATAATTGAATTAGGGTTTTCACCAAAATGATTTCTTTTTTCTTCAACTCTTTCTAAAAGAGGAGAAGTCTTTTAGAAGTAAGGTGATTCAAAGAGTGCATCCTAAGTAAGTTATAAAACAAAGTCTTGCATAACCAACCTCATTGGAAAAAGATACTTTTATAAAATATAATATATACATATTTATATTTATATTTATATTTTATTTTTATTTCCGAATTGGTAATTTTTCTTACTTTTACCTTTAGAAGGAACAAAATTACATAATAAAATAATTATATTTATATGTTATAATTGTAATATTTTTTTTAATCGCAATTGATGAAATTTGGAAATTATATTTTTTCATTCACTAATACTAAAAAAATAAGATACACAATAACAAAAATTATAAGTGTAATTGTCATTTTCTTTTTCAAAATTTTCGGAAACTAAAATCAGATTGAATATTAAAAAAGAAACTCAAGAAGTTCGAAGGAGAAATAATGAAAGAATGTTCCAAAGTTAATGGAAATTCGTAAATTTTGTTCCGATTTCCATTCATAAACAGAAGTATCTTTTAATCACTTGAACAACGAACTTTAGATATTAAAAATTTCCCACAAAAACCCTTGTCTGAAAATCAAAAGAAAAAAGTAATAGATTCTCACTTTTGTTTTCCCTTTTTTTTCGAAAAAAAAAGCAGGAAAGAATTGCTTTCACCGTCAACAAACACAAATTTCACTTCAAAATGACCAAAATCTTAAAATTCAAAGCACATAAAACATAATATTATATATATTAATTGTAAATTACTGCCACCCCTGAAAAAATATCAAATTATATATAAAAAAAAAAACATGCATGCATGTTTGGATAATTTCAATCACTCCTCAACTATGAATCTTCTTACACGTCCAATTCGTATTAAATTTGGTAGAATCTTCTAGATGATGTGGAATATTCTCTAGTTTGTAGCCGTTTTGCCGTAGTCGAGCTCCACATTTTGAAACAAGATAATCATAAGATGTGTCTCTTGACTCGTAAATATAAGATTGTAGTGCATATATCAGAAACTGCATTTTTACACAAAACGAGTACAAACTATAGAACATTCCATGGAATATAGAAGATTCTGTTTACTTTGACACCATACGTGTGTACGTGTAAGAAATTCATAATTGATATGTGACTGTAATTACTCAAAAATTAAGATTTTTGTAATTCGACATTACCTAAGGGCGAAAACGTAATTTATCCTATATATATAGTTATTTATTTTTATTGATTAATTTAATATATCAATAAATGCGCGTACGCTGTTGCCATACGGGTGTACGCCTACACAATTGATGCAATGTACATACATACATACATGTGTGAATACGCGTACAATACCAATTACCAAAGTTTGAATTTTTTTTTTTCTTTTTCTGAAAAAACTGACAAAAAAACTGAGAAAAAAACCCAAAAAGGGTTCAACTTCAATCTTGACAGAGAAGAGCGGTGGGAGAGTGGTGTGGGACCCACGTGATGGGGGTGGGGGTGGGGGTGGGGGGGTAGGGGGTGAGGGGGGTGGCATTGAAGAAGACTTAAACATCACGACAGTGAAGGAAAATGGTGTGGTGAGTGTGTAAAAGACAGCTAGCACTGAACCAAGAAACTTCACCTACCGTATTTCCTCTCTCTCTAGCTCTCTCTCTCTCTCTCCTCTTCATATTCTTTCTCTCTCTATATTTCTTTCATATATACATACAGTATATATACATATATACAGCTGAGTTTCAGTTAACAGTGATAGATATTAGATAGTAGTAGTTCATCAGTGAAAAGTAGACAAATAGTGTAGGGTGTTAATTTCATTACAAAACGGTGTCGTTTTGTTATTATTTTTTTAGATTTTTATTGCATTTGCTGCTTTGGAAGCAGTGCCCATCTGAAAAGAATTTCTTGCTGCTCATTTTTTGTGGGGTTTAAGAACAGGTTTGTCTCTTCATTTTCCTTTCTACTTGTTTTCTTGCACAAATAAAAATTGCTTCTTTTCTTCTTCATTTTTTCTTGCAGGTTTTTCTCTGCATTTCTTTCATAGTTTCACTTTCTTTACATTGCAATTACTTTTATACCCTTCTTCTTGCTCAACGGAGAAAAAAAATGTGATTTTTTTTTGCAATTTCATCCTTAAAAATGTGATCTTTACTTTACTTTTTTGTTACTTCTCTCGAAAAATGTGATCTTTATTTATATATATATATATATATATATATATATATATATATATATATATATATATATATATATATATATATATATATATATATATATATATATATATATATATATATATATATATATATATATATATATATATATATATATATATATATATATATATATATATATATATATATACAAATAAAAATTACTTCTTTCTTCTTCATCTTTCTTGCAGGTTTTGCTCTGCATTTCTTTCATAATTTCACTTTCTGTACATTGGAAGTACTTTTATGCCCTTCTTGTTCAAGGAAGAAAAAAAAATGTGATCTTTTCTTTTCTTTGCAATTTCAGCCTTAAAAATGTGATCTTTACTTTACTTTTTTGCTACTTCTCTTGAAAAATGTGATCTTTATTTTAATTTTTATTTATTTTATTTTAATTATTGGAATGCTCACTTGGGTTTCCGCATTTTATCATTTTTTTATAAATACTAATAAATTTTTCTCTGTGCAGGAAAATTTACTCTCTTGAATTCTCCAAATATTCAAGGTTCTTGCAAAAAGCTTGAAAAACAATCAAGGTTAGTTTTGTAATTTCCCTAATCCTCTGTTTCTTTTGTGTTGAATATTTATGATTTACAAAGAATTCAAGAATCTCAGACAAGTAATACTATGAATTTAGGTTCTTGTTAGCAAGAATCCAAAACTAAAAATTAAATATGCTGAACTAAGATTCTCAGCCTTTTTATGCTAAAATGCGCCACATTTCACCCACAGCTCTGTATAAGCTGGCAAGAATTGTCATCATGTTCATCCACGTCACCACTACCTTCTAAACCGCTTCTCAATTTTCATTACACTCCCACAATTTTTTTTATTCTTGTAAGAAACTCTTTACACACATATATATAAGTGTGTTTTTCTGCCTTTTCTTTAACATATTTTTCTGTTTTTTTTCAGGGTAGTTTTATATTTTTGAGGTGATGGGGCCAAATTTCATGGACGAAATCGATTGTGGAAACTTCTTCGACCAAATCGACGACTTGATTGAGTTTCCACCCGACAATGAGTGCGGTGAAGATAGCAATTTAGTTATAAGCTCCGATGTACGTAAGGATTTTCCGGCGTGGAATAATGACTTGCCGGATTGTGATCCTCTTTTCTCCGGCAGCCACGTCAGCTCCGCCTCCGATCTCTCCGCTGAGCTCTCCGTTCCGGTGAGCACCGACACTTTTCTCATATTAAAGAACCCTTTTTTATTGTCTCTCCCATTATGTTAATTGCTTCCCACACATGTTTTCCATGTTTTTTTTTGTGACATTAGTTTCGGTTGTTTTGGCAAATTGTCGTTGTTTTTTGGTGAGCTATAAAGAGTAATGTTAGCTACAAAATCAAACTCAAATCCTCCTTTGATCGGTCTAATTTAATTTGTTTCGGAAAAAGGCGAAAAAACCGAGGGAAGTTTAATCAATGCCGTGGTGGAATTGCCAATTTTTTTGTTGTGTTTTCGTTTAATTTTTTGGTTTGATTTTGATGTTTTGCCAAATTTGTTATGGTTTGGTCACATATCATGATACTCTTAAAATTAAAATGACATTTATGACATCCCTCTTGCAAACGGAAATTATAAATATCGTTTCGATTTTACTTGTACCGTTCCGAATTCACAAGTGATTTTGACCATTTTTCAGTCTTAAAATTGGCAAAATTGGCAAAAGTCAAAACACAATGTAAATTCATATGCTTCACTTGCAATTCCTCTTCTCATACATTTTCTTTAATTCTCTCTTGCAGTACGAGGATATTGTGCAACTCGAATGGCTTTCGAATTTCATGGAGGATTCATTTTCATGCAAAGACATGACCATCGGAAAACAAAACTCGTCGGTCCCACACAACCAATTTCAAACCTCGAGCCCAGTTTCCGTCTTAGAGAGCAGCAGTAGCAGCAACAGCACTTCCTCCTCTCTCAGCCCAACCCATCGTGGCCCACAACGGGCCCGGAGCAAACGGGCCCGCCCGGCGTCTTTCAATCCACGGGCCGCCATTCAACTCATCTCCCCCTCTCCCGAACCCAATCACAACTTCATCATCGAGTCGCCACCCGTTATGAAGAAGGCCCATAAACCGAAGCCCAAGAAAATTAAAGAAACTCCGCCCGTCGATCCGTTATCAGCAAATGACGAATATACCCCTCCGGGCCAAGCATTGCGCAAATGCTTGCACTGTGAGATAACCAAGACCCCGCAGTGGAGGGCGGGCCCGCTGGGCCCGAAAACCCTATGCAACGCTTGTGGGGTCCGCTACAAGTCGGGCAGATTGTTCCCGGAGTATCGTCCGGCCGCTAGCCCTACCTTCGTGCCGTCTGTGCATTCGAATTCGCACAAGAAAGTACTCGAGATGAGAAACACGGTCGAGCCCGAAAATGGAGCAAGCGGGCCTGGGCCCATTACTAGTGCTTCACTTTAGTACGGAAGAAGAGCGTGAGAAGGGTTCCGTATTTTATATCAATACTATGCTACTTTCTTGAAGTTTCGTTTTTTTTCTTCGATTTATTTGTTCTTTCGTACTTTGTATAGTGTAATGTAACTGGAGAGGGGAGGGGGAGAATATAGGAGCTATAGATGACGGTAATTTAGATTAGTCGGAAGTTTAGCGATAAACGGAAAGTTTAGGACGTTGGCTTTCGCCTTAAATCTTGTTTAGTTCCTTAAAAAAAAGAGATTGTAGCTTTGGGGGCAGAGGAAATTTCATTTTTTTTTTTTTTTTTGCAGTTGGTTAATTTTCTGTTTAATTGTAGGGATTTTGAACTGGTAATGAATTTGAGTTTATGTACTTGTTATTCCTCTATTGCTTCTCTCTGCAGTTTGTGTTCCTACATTATATCTACAATTATCTTATGTTGTCATTGTGTTCTGCTTTAATACAGTATAATTGTAAGACATGATGCGTGTAATTGTAAGTACGCTTACTATTTATTATTTTAAGGGCTCGTTCGGTTACCGCGATAAAGTTCTACTGACTAAATAGTATGGGCTAATAACATATTCGGTTGACAAGATTCACACTTTTTCAAATCCGTTACTAAAATCAAAGTCCGCTGTTAAATGCTACTATTGCATTAAATTAGTAGCACACCTCCCTTAGAGATTAATTTAATAGGGGTTGATTAAAAAGGAAAAAGACAATTTTATCCTTAAAATCATATCGTATTATTATAGACAATTCATATATAATAACCGAATTTAACAAATTTAATAGATATCTAATCTAAGAAATCGAACATGTTACTAACTAAATAATTAATTAGCCAGTAAGGAGTTAATACAGTCTCATCTAATTCAATCTAATCCAATATAGGTAACCGAACGAGCCCTAATATTATTTATATGTACCCTTGTAAAAAAAATTATTATTATTTATATGACTCTTGAATTTTTGGGCCCAATAGATTATTTCATATCCAGTCCATTTAGCCCAATTTTTGCTGAGCGACCCAGCAATAAAGCCCAACAACACTTGAGCCCAATAGTTCGGTCAAACTCTTTAGAAGACTCTGGATCTTTGATCGTGCCGATTGATTCTCACCGTTTGATATGAAATATTCATCCGAGGTACTTAACAATCGCCTCTTTCTCACAACCCTAATTTTTGATCTCTTCTCTCGTCGTACTACCGCATTCAATTTTTCTTGTCTGTTTTCGGCGACATTCCGTTGACGATGAGAGTGATAAGAGAGAGAAATATATCCACATACAATTTGATTTTTAATCTTGTTTCTTTGTATCTCTACACTTCGGTGAGGTCGTGAGATCCACTCTGAGTGATGAAAACACGATAGTTTAAACACTGTGAGATTGGGAGTTTTTCTAGTGAGATCGAGTTCAAACTACATAAAATTACACACAATTTCTCCTTATTTGTTTATTTATTTATGATGTTGCACACGAAAGTAGTGCATATGCAACGTTTAGTACTATGAAAACCAACCATTTTCTATTGCTTTTTATTGTTTTGTTTTATAGCATGATGTTATAACATGGGATACACAAAGCAAGTTGTTGGATTTGATGGGGAAACTAATTTCATGTTATTACTTTTTATATTATTTTTTCGGTAATAAAGAACCCGCAACCAATCATATAGGGACACTGAATAAACTTATACTCTCGTATAAAAACTTGCAGAATCATACGACGTAAACCACACTAGGCTAACGATGTGTGACCAGCTCGACCTAGAGACCGTTGACAAGAGAATTCGAACTTTAGTCGATTAACACAAGCTCTCTCACTCCAACCGTTTGCGTGGCATTTAACGTTATTATTAGGATTTTAGACAAAGCAATTGCTTATGTTTGGACAATGGGTAAGCCCGAAATAACAAATGGAGGGCCCATATATTTGGATTAGGTTGTTGGGTGGGTCTTCAATTTAGATGGGCTTTCTAAATCATTGTCTATATTTATAATTGCTGTCTATTTGTTTCTATCATTTCGTTGCCAATATATATATTGCTACAATTTCTTTTATTTTTATTTTTTATTTTTTTTCATTGAATATTTTTGCCAACTTTGGATTATTTATCAATTGATGTGATTTAGATGTAAGATCAATTATTTGGGTTTTTGTGAAATAATTTTCTCGATGACTACATTCCATGATCTCATATGAATTATATGACTTTCTTCTAATTAAAACATCCATTTTACGATATAATCTTTCATACATTAACGACTGCAAAAAATGTGGCACCATGCGGCAAACATACAACTCTAAATAGACTCAAAAAGACTGTGATCCCACTCCACGACCAACATAGAATAAACGATAACCTGCCTACTATGCAAAACTACTAAAAATAAATAGTGATGAAAATAATAAAACTATATATAGAAGACTGGCGTCGAAATGATGGATAACCAAGCTGTTCCATTCGATATAATTTGCTTAATAGCTCCAAGAATTAGTAATTACTACGAATTAGTAAGGTCTACAAAATTCGAATTAATTTAGTTCCACAATAAAAATAAAAATCTACAATTAAATGTTACTATTTCATCTCAAAAAAAAATGTTACTATTAGATAATATTAATACGTACTCCTACCCTTACGATTGTTTTGTAAGTAATTACTAAAAATAAGAAATAATAATAATTAAAAAAAATATTATCCCTAATACAAGAAACCGAACATCTTAATAACTAGTAGCTTATCACCATCATAGAACATTGGTTTTTGCTCACAAAAAGGGTTGAACTAGTAGTATCAAGAAATTAATTATGTTGTCAATTATGGATTTATGCTACTTTTAAGTAAAACAAAACAAAAATTACCACAACAACAACGTTAACAACGACCGTAAACCCAATCAACCTCTTCGTTTTTGAAACGGCAACCTCCGACCGGCTTATTTCATTATTTTAAGTGTTGCTACCTAAAAGATTAGCACTAATTACAACTGTTCCCTCACTTAATTGCCGCTTAATTTTGGTAATTTTTGGCTTATCTTGTACCTTTATAGTAATGGTCCATTAACTACCTCTTAATACTAGGTAGCTTTATAATTAATTATGTGAAAAAAAAAATGCTATGTATATATTACTAGGAAAAAATTCGAAATAAAGCAATCCAACATTTATATAAAAATAAAAAAATAAAAAATTAGCCATGGTCAATTTTTGAAGTGGTTTAATTGATTAAATATGATTTATAGTTGAAAAATAACTCATCTTACAAAATAAAGGGACACAATTTTTCTTAAAGATTATAAACTAATTCTTGAAACAACTGCCGATTACTTTTGGTTTGTCTTTCAACTATATATTATTGTCACTTTTGTTTTGTTCTTTATGTGTTGATTTGGTTATGTAATATACTCACCCTCCACAAAAAACAAATTTGAAGTAATAATAATAAATAATAATAGTACACTCGTGTCACAGATAATATCTTCGCATTTTCTTCTTCTCTTTCAGCTCGCTACCTACCACCTTCCTCGTCTCTCTTGTATTTCGGATAAGACTGGTTAACAGCATATCGAGGAAGCGGATGCGCAATGAGTTTGTGGGCCCAATAAATTCCTTTCAGCCCATACATTTTATCTTTATACTATTTAATAAGTCCAATGTGAAAATTTTAACTCTACTTTGCTAAATTGACCCCCATCAAACACGAGAAAGCTTACGCTACACCTAGTTATTAATGGTGAGTGATTGATAATCGCAGATCTACAAACACTCACCTATTTGTATGTGTGGTTATTTAACATCATCGACAATTAACAAATAGCCAGTGTAGCATATAACTTCCCATCGAACACTATCATATTTGTACTCAACCTAATTATAATCAAAAGAACATTTTATGTGGAAAAAGTATTATCCAACCACAAATTTGCTTAATATTTTTCAACCTAATAAATTGGTTTTGCTTTTAATTCACTTGAACTAGCTGCAATGAATTTTCATCAACCAAACACATAAATATAAAAAAAGAAAAAACAATTGATGATATATAGAATAAAATATTAACTTTTTCAATATTAATAAAAATAATTTTTTTTATAAATGACGTCATTAATACAGGAAGCTAGACAACAGAGCCAACAGCAACAGTAGGTAATATAATAAAAATGGCCAGTAATAAAAAGGTTTAGGACTTTTTCCTCTGTATCACTTGTCAACATCAATTCCCTCTGCCACCTTCTGGTCGGCAAACCAAAGCTAACTTCTTTCAGGTGTCTCTTCTCTCTCCTCTCTCTCCTCTCTCTCTTCACTTCTCTCTCCTCCCTCTCTCTCTCTCTCTCTCACTGTGTGTGTTGTGTGTGTTTTTGTCTCTCTGTCCGTCCCCATTTTCTCTCTCTTCCATCACTCTACATAAATTCCCACTGAACCCTACTCTTTTTTTTCTTCTCTCCTTCCTCAATCCACTCACCCACAAGTCAGTGAATACAGTTTCTTGTTCTCCAAAACCCCTACACAACAAATACCCTTTTTTTCTCTCTCCTCTTTCTTCAAGTAAACCTTTTCACATTTTCTCTTGCCCCGTGTTAATTTCTCTGTCGATTTCACCATTTTTTTAAAAGGGTCTGACTCTGATGAGATAAAGAGCAACAAAGGCAAGATCTTTACTCTTTTCATTTCAATTCAATTCAATCCTGATCTGGGTTTTTCTTTATTTTAATTGTTTTGGGGTTTTTTTTTTCTCTGCAGAAAATTTGCAAAAGGGATTCGAAATTTTCCGACAATGATTAACGTGATGCATTCTGCGAACAAGCCCATGAATCAGGTGGAGAAAATCTTGGATCCACAGCTATGGCAAGCCTGCGCCGGCGGTATGGCACAAATCCCACCGCCGAATTCGAAGGTATATTATTTCCCACAGGGGCATTCCGAACACGCTAATAGACACGTGGATTTTAATGGGTTTTCAAGAATTCCACCTATTATACCTTGTCGAGTTTCCGCCATTAAGTATTTGGCCGATTCCGACAGCGATGAAGTTTATGCTAAAATCAGATTAGTCCCACTAAGTATGAGTGATTATGATGCTAATGACGATAATAATGATGATAATGAGAATGGGTTCTTGGGTTTTGACAAGTGTGATGAGAAGGAGAAAACCACGAATTCGTTCGCGAAGACGCTGACGCAGTCCGATGCGAACAACGGCGGTGGGTTTTCGGTTCCGAGGTACTGCGCCGAGACGATTTTCCCGAGGCTGGATTACTCCGCCGAGCCGCCGGTTCAGACGATCTTGGTTAAGGATGTTCACGGCGAGGTTTGGAAGTTTCGCCATATTTACAGGGGTACCCCTCGCCGGCACCTGTTGACCACCGGGTGGAGCAATTTCGTGAACCGTAAGAAGGTTGTGGCGGGGGATTCGATCGTTTTCTTGAGGGCGGAGAACGGGGATTTGTGCGTGGGGATAAGGAGGGCGAAACGGGGGGTTAACGGCGGGCAGGAGGTCGTGTGTGGGTGGAGTAGTAGTAATGGGGCTTCAGCGTCGTCTTTGTACAGAGGGTTTTCCGATTTTCTTAGCGGAAATCGGAATAATGTAATGTGCGATAATAGTAAAGGGATCGGGAATTGTGAGTTGCCGGGGGTGAAGGAGAGGGGGAATGTGAGCGGCGAATCCGTTCTTGAAGCGGTTAATCTTGCTGTGAATGGACGGCCTTTCGAGGTCGTTTATTATCCGCTCGCTAGCACACCGGAGTTTGTGGTGAGGGTGCGTGCGGTTAGGGCTGCCATGAGGGTACGGTGGTGCTCGGGTATGAGGTTTAAGATGGCTTTCGAGACCGAAGATTCTTCTCGAATAAGTTGGTTTATGGGCACCATTTCTTCGGTTCAAGTCGACGACCCTATTCGTTGGCCTAATTCTCCTTGGAGACTTCTTCAGGTATATATATACATATACATATATATGTATGTATATATGCAAAAAAATCGAATCTTTTTGATTATTGGTTGGAAAATTCGATTCTTGATTGGACTTATTTTTTTGTTTTGTTTCGATTGAAGGTGGCGTGGGATGAGCCCGATTTACTGCAAAACGTGAAGCGGGTAAGCCCGTGGTTAGTGGAGCTGGTTTCGAATATGCCGCCAGGTGGCAATCTGCCGCCTTTCTCTCCACCGAGAAAGAGGCCTAGGTTTCCTCTGCCGTCGGATTTTCTACTACCGACGTTTTTCAACAACCCACTAAGTCCCATTAGCCCGTTGTGTTTTTTACCGGAAAATATTCCTACGGGCGTACAGGGAGCCAGGCATGCTCGATTCGAATCTCAACCGTCGGATCTGGTCCATTTCAAGAAACAAATCCAACCGTTCGATTTCAAGCTTCTAGATGACGACGACGATGCTTTGTCTCGCACCAAACCGATGTTTCGTTTGTTCGGTCAGCCGATTCTCTCTGCGGAGCAAATCTCGAGAAGCTACTCGGTGGATAATAATACCGAGGGTTACAGTTTGTCGGACGGAAATCAAGAAAATACGGGGAACGTATCTAACGGTTCTGGATCGGGGGTCGTTCAGAATTTTCCTCCGGAAGCTTCCGAAGATGAATGTAAGAAACTTGATCTTGGCTTGGAGACATGATGAAGAGATGTATCGTAAATTGTGGGCGGAAAAAATCGGAAAAAAATTATAAAAAAAAAAATTCGAGCAATCTGCTATAATGGAGTTGGTTAACTATAATGAGTTTTAGGTGAAAAATGTACATTTGGAGGTTGTCTGAAAAAAAATTTTAATTAGCTTATGTTTAGATTATGTGCTCTAAGCTTGGTATTAGAGCTAATTAAGTATGTTTGTTCTTCGTGTTCTTGAAACCAAAGGCAATTGGAAATTAATTGTTGCTATATTATTGACATTTCTTGGTAATATTCATTCTGTTTTTACAGCTTCTTGATTATATCTTATTGAATTTTTATGTTTTTTTATTTAAAACCAAAGCTTAGATAAAATCTTTGTTGTTTGAATGAATTTTAAAGTTTACCAAATGTCGTTTCAGTTTTAATTTAATTATATTGTTTCGACTTTAAATGTGATTTTGACCTTCTTCGACTCGGAATTTGGTAAAACTCCAAATAGGGAGTTTTTAGTTTTTTGAGTTAGCTTTGTAACTCAAATTGAATCACCAAGATTGGTTGTCGGGTGAAAAAGATATGTATGAATTAATGAACATTGCCCACAACTTTGATGAATTTAGTTATTTAAAATTCAAAATGTAACTCATTCATGCATAATTTTGTCATCCAACATCCAATTTAGCTAAATCAAGTTTGATTAGAAAGTTAACTAAACGGACTACAATTTCCTTTTTTTAATTTTACTAAAATCAGACTAGAAAATGTTAAAAATCACATTCGAATTCAAAACGGGTAAAATTGAGAGCACATAAGAAATTGACAATTCAGGTCTTGTTCGGCTTCCAAGATAAGATTAGTCAAAAAATAAAAATTATATAATTTTACAATAAATCCATCTAAGAGTTCATTTTTAATTAAGTGTATATTGTCATTATTATATTAAACAAAACATATAGCAAGTAAATGGTGCATGTGATGAAGAAACAGCAATTAAGTGGAGCTAATTAATGAAATAAAACATAATTAAAGAAAATTCAACTCTTTGATCCATGTGATTATGAATTGCCTAATGAAGTGTAAAAAGTTCTTTCAACATGTGTTAAGACACTTTTCACACAAATCTTGTTTTCGAGATCATGCATACTTCACTCAACACCGACCATCCAATGCAAAATTAATTTTCGGAATTTACAGCTCACTAATTATTCGAATTACAGGCTAATTAATAAATTTTTTTTTAAAATAACTAAGAAATTAAATTTCTATTTTTTAACTCCTATTTAAGATCGGGTAAATTACGACCACCTCTGGCATAAGCTCAAATTACGAAAAACACCTCTCATGTTAGGATAATTACAATCACCTCCCTCAACTATGTCAAATTTAACTACCGAAAGAGATTTTTTTCGTAACACAAAATATAGTTGAAGGAGTAGTAGTTGTAATTATCCAAACATAATGAGTTTTTTCGTAATTTGAGGTTTAAGATTTTACATTGCATCTCAAAATAGATCCATATTTGAAGGGATTAAAGGCATATGAAATATTAAAAAATAAATATTAATGTAGAAAAATAGTAAATAGAAAATGAATTTAATTAAATTGAATTTAAAATCCCAAGTTGGACTAATAAACTCAAATCCCAAGTAGTAGAAGAAAGAATTCAAACTTCCAAACATAAAAACCTACTCTGATGGCGCAAGACTAGGGTGATATTAATTGGGATTTGAGCTCTTAATTAATTGGATGGATTACTAAATCACAACATTTAATTAATTAATTAGTACTCCTAATTAAGGATTAATTAAGTACTCTATGGGGCTCTAATCCCAAAGGCTATTTATTACTATTTTGTTGTAAATTAGGGATGGGTCAAACGTCTCTAATACACAGTTTTCCTACTTCTCGCCTCTCATTGGCCACTGACTTTTCTCTCTCTACAAAAAAAATTAATAATTAATTAATAGATGAAAATTTAAATAATAATAATAAAGTAATAATGGGCTCACGTGAGAGGCCTCGAATAGTCAACCCCAGGCCCATAAACAACGCTTGCGGCGTGTTGATGCTTGGGCCTTTTTTTCTCTCTCTCTCTCTCTCTCTCTATTAAAAATTAAAATAAAATTAATTAATTATCATTTATAATAAATTATTACAATAAACAGAACTCAATAGAAAGTCAACATCCAACTGTACACGTACGTATGTCTAAATCTCAATCAAACTTCAAATATTGTTCTTTTCTGTATTTATATATAAATAAAAATATATATATATAAATATATATTATATGGATCATGTCATTGATCGGTGAGTGGAGACAATAATCCTAGGAATGAGCTGGATAATATTATTTTTTTTGTCTTGATTAGCAAAGGTCTTCACCAATTTTTTTTTTTTTTGTTTTTTTGTATTTTCATTCAATATAATCCATTATTTCAAAATTTTAATAATGTATTAATTATTAAAAAAAAATCAAAATTTAGATCATATAAATATTACTATACTACGTGTTTTTATTTTCTCACTATTGGTTGGGAAGTGAATTTGTATTTGCAAACACGAAGCAATGTTATACTAATAACTACACAAAATTAATTGTTGTTTACAATGTGAGATGTGCACGAGGGCGTTGAATGTGAGACATTATTGCAAGATTTCATGGATTCTATATAGTATTTATTGAGTGGTAAATATAATTAATCATAAACAAAAATTAAATAAAATTACGGTAGTAAACTTTCACTTATAATTCTCATAAAGTAAAAATTGTGTATGTATTGTTCGCAGGAGATGGTTTAGCGGTCGGTGCAAGTGAGCTCACATGTTCGAATCCACTTGCTAACGGTCGCTAGATCGAGCTTGTCACACATGGTTAGCCTACTGTCGTTTACGTATCTCGTATGATTTGCAAGCTAATATACGAGAGTGTAGATTGAGTCTGATTTTACATCTCTCGTATGATTTGTTGTGGTTTACGTCCATCATATGGTTTACAAGCTATTATACGAGACTGTAGATTGAATCTGATTTACATCTTTCGTATAGTTTACAAGCTATTATACAATAGTGTAGATTTATCTCGTACACCTGTACGCCTGTGAGTTTCTTTCATTAAAAAAATGTGTATGTATCCATTGTAGATAGATGTGTGTGAACAAGATCCAAGAATTTGAGAAATGTCTTTGGTCAAAGGTCAATCCTAGACATTAGGTTTCCGTTGTAAAAATTTTCCCATTAAAAAAAATATATATATATTAATTACTAGTAATTAGCATGGTCACAGAAACTCATGGGAAAATTAGTTAGTTAATTGTGGTACTTTGTTTTAGGTCAACATGTATGTATAATTACACCAAACAACATAGTATATAGTGTATTATTGCTAAATATTGGATGGTATCCAATGTTTTATGACTCGTGCACATCTATTTTATTTATTTAAAAATAATATTAAGTTCCAAAAATGGATAATTATATATCAAAAGTATTCGTAGTTGGTTAGCTAACCATACCACCATAGTCAAAAATATATGTGCCGACATTACATTCAATTTCTTTAACTCATAAATATTCAAAAATATTAATAGATTTTCCCTCCGTTTTTTAAGTGTCGTTTGAGGTAGCTGCATACAAATTAAAAAAAAAAACAGTACATCGAAACTTTAAAGTGACAGGTAGTATGTCAGTCACGACTCACGTACGTCGGATGATTTATTGATTTATTGTATAGGTAGTAATGTGAATGTAAACCATAGGATATGTGTTTGAAATAATTAATCATAACTATGTATCTATGATTACTATAGATTAGAACAAATGAAATATTGGAATATTTTTTATATATATTTCATAAGTTGACCTATAGTCTTTTACAAAATAAAAAAAAAAAAAAAAAAAAAAATCGAATAATTATTATAGGCCTAATTTTTTTTAACTCAAAACTTCTAAATATTATAATTCATTCACTTATTGGGCCAATTGATTTCCTACATATGCTCACTTGTATAGTGAGGCCCAAAAAAGTTGGATCCGACGTCGTATCACTTAATTTATGGGCCCATAGCCCACCAGTAGTCTATTACTAAAATCGTGTTTTAACGCCTCTTGAAATCGTGCTTTAATGGAGAGTATAAAAACGCTTACCAAACACCACGCCCAGTTGACAGCTGTCGCTATTTCCCGGCTTTGCCACGTAAGCAGCATATTCCAGATTACATATAAGCATTTTTTTCTGTAGTGTCCTACCCAGATCCTCTCTTTCTCCGCCACCGCTTTCCGCTCGATTTCAATTGCTCCGAGCTTCGAAAATGGCAGGTGAATATGTTTTTTTTTTCTTTTTTCTTTTGTGTTAACGCATTTAATACGCAAGTTTTGGTACTTCCGGTTGCAATTTGTTTTCCATTTTTTCCGTAATGCTAATTTGCAGTTGATAGTTAGAAATATTATGGGTTTCGAAATAATTGGTAGCTCAGAAATTTATTGGAGTGTGTATCTGGCCAAATTAAGCGGATTATGCTGGTGTTTACTTTTTTTTTTTCCAAGTAGTTTAGCTGTTGGATTGGAAGAGTTTAAGTTGGTGGGTTTTGTTTGATTGTTTTATTTTGATGAGATTTGGTGTCGACGAATTGATAGGGGAAGATATTAATTGAATGGGATCGAGATGCTTATTTTATTTGGTTCATACAATCTTGAGGTGGATTTCAGTAGTGTAATGTAGTTATTCCATCTTCGAGTTTACATTTGTGGTTGTAAGTGGTGGTGTTTGATGAATTGTTATATATTTGAGTGAATGGCTGTAGTGTAATAATCATGCATTTGGGGGTGATATTAGTCGCAATCGATTGTACATTTTTTTTTGTTATATTGTTTAGGAGAAATTGACGACGAGATAGAGGTTTTTGAGATCGTTTACATCAGATGAAATAATATGAAGCAAAATAGCAAATTAGTAATGACGAGAACCGTATAAATCAGGCATTTTATTAGGTTACCTCTTTGCTTATTCAAATTCCCAACGGTAAACTCAATTTTAGGTAATTTGTTAAGAAAACTGTTAATCTAAAAGGTAAAGCGGTCAAACTTAGGACTTTTTCTGAACCCGCTACAATCTGATGTTGTCGTTCTCGATCTGGAATGCTAGACATTCTTCAGAAAGAGAAGTAGCGAGACTGTGAAATGAAACAATGTTCCCTGAAGAGTTAAATGTTTCTCCGTTTCGCCTTATTGCTTATGACTTCTTTCCCTTTCTGTTTGATGGTTTACATTATTTTCTGACGATGATACTAATTATCCGGAATATTTCTTGTAGTAACTATGAGTGCATATTCTTCTTTGTTCAATACTGACTAAAATTTAAAAAATGTTCATAAAGTCTGCAATTGTTGAACTCACAATTTCGGAGGAAGTGAGACGCTTAAGTTATTAGACTTTAAGAAAAACTTCCAGGGAAAGTTAACTTACAATATTTCATCCTCGAAACTTTTCCCCAGAGGATAACGTATTTTGATAGGAAGTATTAGAGGTGAATCAATGGTGGTTGTGGAAATACCTTACGATCTCTAAGGGCTAATAGAAACTTTTTGGCCAAACACTGATAATGATTTCTGATTAAACTATTACCGATAACAAGAACAAATTCATAATGGTGCAAATTTTCAATTTTCATGCAGCAATATCAGGGAAGGTTGTCCAACACGTTCTGGTAGCACATTGCTGCCAGCAGAATAGGCAGTTAAGCACCCAATACAGAAAGGATTGTTGTACCCCTTATAGGCACAATTTTCTTCCCCATATAAGAGGGAAGTTGACATCGACTGACATCTCCACCATCCAACTCCGCACATTCTCAAAATTTAACCGAGGAATTGTTTGCTGCAATGGTCTGTTCTAGACTCTTATTATTTCAGGTCGATATTCTGTTTCAGCCTTAACGTTCCTGGTCTTGACCTTTGGATTGCTTAGCAATCTAACCACTTTATCGTGCTGAATAACATTCTTTTTTTCCTAGCCTTTTCGTGGATTTCTAATCGACCATATTTAATTTTGAAGTTGTGAACCTATTCTCAGCCAGAACTATTTTGTTTATATATGGATCTTTTTTCTTGTGCAGCAGCCTCATCGGCTACTATCATACCATCTATCGACAAAGGTGCTTTTCTCAAGCTTCAAAACGGCAGGTAAGGCTAGAGTTTGTTAATGCTTTGTTTTTCTTATGTGCTATTGTGGATATATTGATAATGTCAAGCTGCACGATTAAGTTTATAAACATGCATCTCTATGTGAAAGCAGGCACGGAGCCACTGAAAGTTACTTCAAAAACTTGTTCTCATTTTTTTACTCTTTTTCCATGCATGGGAAGGGTTAGGGTGAGGGTGCGGGAAATCATTTCTTTAGCTTATAATGTAATGGTTTTCTTGAATGGAGTCTGTCAATGAGCATCTTAATTTATTGAGTTACTTTTTGGCTTACAATTTTCTCAAGATTATTGGGCTTGCTGAGGTGTTGGCGTTTCCAGTATTAATTAAATAAAATCATATTTTTGAGGTTGCAGTACCTCAAAGTGCTATTCAGCTTTATACGTGATGGTATCGGATGTTCATTTTTAACACCTTCTTTACTAATACATGCTCTTTGACATCTTTTTCGAACAGCGATATTCGAGGTGTTGCTATCGATGGTGTTGAGGGTGAACCTGTTAGCCTCCCCGAACGAGTTACAGAAGCAATCGCAGCTGCTTTCGCTGCATGGTTGCTGGATAGAAAGAAACCTGATGCTTCTAGAAGGTTGAAAGTTTCAATAGGCCACGATTCACGAATATCCGCACAGAAGTTACAGGTATTACTTATCAATGCTTTATCCTGTGTACTAATCTTGAAATCTGGGTTTTGTGTTAACATCCGCATAAAATTTACATCATACCGTTTTGTCTTACGTATCTATCTACTTAATAAAGCCGATTGAATACTGTAATTAAATTTCAGGATGCAGTATCTCGAGGTCTAGATGCTGCTGGAGTTGATGTGATTCAATATGGGTGCGCATGAAGATTTCTAATACGTACCTGTTCAAGTTTGTGCCATATGCCACGATTGAATTATGCTGTTAATAGAAGTTATTTTTTGTAGATTAGCATCCACACCAGCTATGTTCAATAGCACTCTTACTAAAAACAAAGACATTTTCTGTCCAGTTGATGGATCTATAATGATCACAGGTACGCAATTCTTTCACACCTCTGTTTTTTTTGGGGATAAATCTCTTCCACTGAATGTTCTCGAAATTATCCTTTTTTTATGGTTGCTTTTCGAGGGTTTTTTTTTTCTTTTTAATTATCCTTGTATATTTCCTGCTAACAGCAAGCCATCTTCCCTACAATCGTAATGGATTTAAGTTCTTTACGAATGCTGGTGGGCTTGGGAAAGTGGATATAAAAGATATATTGGAGCGCGCTGCTGACATATACAAAAATTTCACAGAAGAAGGTCTGAGGGACCCACAATCTGTGAAAAGAGTGGACTACATGGCTGTTTATACATCTGATCTGGTTGCAGCTGTTCGGAAAGCTTCAGGGGACATAGGTATAATACCTTTGTATGCTCATCCAATTGTGACGATTGCATGGAATTGGTTACTCGTAAAGAATGTTGAAGTTGAATATGATGACTTATATATGCCAATGTGGATACTGTGCCCCTCTTCATGTTATATGCCGGCCTTCTACTAATCTTGTTCTGAGGATTTGCTTCCTGTTTGCATCTCGGTTAAATATGTGCCTCTAGATTTTATGCAAGAAATTATCATAAGTTGTTCAAGTCTATTCTGTGATATAATCATCTTTACGCGTGAAGTTTTCTCATCTTTGTTCGTTTTCCATGTTTCAGAGAAGCCACTGGAGGGATTCCATATAGTTGTCGATGCAGGAAATGGAGCTGGAGGGTTCTTTGCTGTAAGTTTGGAGTTTTAAACATGATTTCCTGTAGTTCTTCCCTCTTTTTTTTTTTTTTTTTTTACCTCGTGTTCTTCAGTTGGAATTAAACAGAAGAAGAACTTATGAAATTCGGGTAACATCCAGTAATGCATGGTGACAAACTTATGATATTTGAGTAAATAAGTATTTATTACATTGCTAATTCTTGAAAATCCGTCCTTGGCCGAACATAATTATGCTGTACAAGAAGCATTTGGTAAAGGTGCCTAAGCCATTTCTTAATTGAAGATCATTGGAGCAGTTAAGCTAAAATAGTTCGTTTCCATCATTGGTCTATCAGGGAAAGGTGCTCGAGCCCCTGGGAGCTATTACTTCTGGAAGCCAGTTCCTAGAGCCAGATGGTAAAATTAATCATGAATATTATATATTGTGTTTATTATGGTCAATATATTCGATCCGACTCTAACGCGTGTGTACACCAGGAACTTTCCCCAATCATATTCCTAATCCTGAAGATAAAGAAGCAATGGAAGCTATCACTCGGGCCGTACTCGACAATAAAGCAGATTTGGGCATCATCTTTGATACTGATGTTGATAGGTGGTGCTAGTTTATTTGCCTTACCGAATTCGTTGTCCAATGTATTGAATTTTTCTAATTAAAAAATATTATTGGTATTTTGGTCAGATCTGCTGCTGTGGACTCCAGTGGTCGTGAGTTAAACAGGAACCGTTTGATAGCCCTTATGTCTGCTATTGTCTTGGAGGAAGTATGTCTTTATTCTTTTATTTATTTATTTATTTTCCTTATTGTCATGTTTGATGCACTTGTAATTTCCACTTGACCCTGAAATATTTTCGTTTTTGTCTTTGACCAAACAGCACCCCGGGACTACTATTGTCACTGATAGTGTTACATCAGATGGATTGACTACGTTTATTGAAAAGAAACTAGGTAAGATAATTGATTACTGAATATATATATTTGTTTCGTCAATCAGCATTCTCACACCAAATTAATCTCCATTCTTCACAGGTGGAAGACACCATAGATTCAAAAGAGGCTACAAAAATGTGATTGATGAAGCCATTCGTTTGGTAATGCTAGTTTCATTATTATTTTATCACCGTTTTATCATTCTTGAAATTTGATATTAAATGAGTCGTAAACCTCGTTGAATTCTTTCAGAACTCCGTAGGAGAGGAATCACATTTGGCTATCGAAACCAGTGGGCATGGAGCTCTTAAGGAGAATAATTGGCTCGATGATGGTGCATATCTCATGGTAGACTTCTATTTTTCATCCTTAACCAGATTTATTTATTTATTTATTATCATATATTCTTTTTTTTTTGGCTTATATATTTAGCTATCGTTGCTCACAGGTGAAGCTTTTGAATAAACTCGCATCAGCCAAGGCTTCTGGATTAGGGGCAGGCAGCAAAGTTCTGACTGACTTGGTTGAAGGTCTAGAGGAACCGGGTTTTGCAGTCGAACTGAGACTTAAAATCGACCAAAATCATGCAGATCTTAAAGGAGGGTAAGTTTTTACTAATATACCCTTGTGCCTAGTGATGCATTGAGTGCTGATTTAGTCGGTGCCATTTCAGATCTTTCCGTGCGTATGGAGAGGCTGTGCTACAGCATTTGTCGAATATCGTCGATTCAGATCCAAAACTCGAGAAAGCCCCCGTTAATTACGAAGGGGTAAAGTTGTCATTACTCCAACAAAATACTCAATTCTTGAAAATGCCTAAAACCATATAACCGAGTGTTCCTAATTCGGCTTGCTTTTAATTCCGTTTAATAAACAGATAAGGGTGTCTGCGTTTGGTGGATGGTTCCTGTTGAGACTATCACTTCACGACCCCGTTTTGCCCCTTAATATCGAGGTCAAAATTACTTTACCTTTCAATAAAAGTATTATTATATGATTTTTTCGAAAATGAATGAAAAATTGATTAGGGGCTAAATACGATATTTCTTTCAACAGGGACCAAATAAAGAAGATGCCGTAAAGCTAGGTCTCGCTGTTCTTTCTGCTGCACGAGAGTTTCCAGCTCTTGATACTTCTGCTTTGGACAAATTTGTCCAAGTGTAATTCCTAATTTGCTTAAGGTCTGTTTGGAACAAAGTGCTTCTTAAGTCTTTTTAATTGTTGTAGTCATATATTGCAATGTAATCATAGTATGTTACTATCATCTGGCTTTGAAAATACGGTAGATGTCGATTATCGTAAACATACTGTTTTGGGAGTAGAAGCTATACGAGAGATGGCCACCATGTTTTGAGGTTCAATAAATACTTCGAGAGGGATCAGACAAGCTCTCAAACACGACATGATTTTTTTTAGAATTTTTTTTGGTGTTTTCTTTTCTTATGCCGTAACAGCAAAAAGAAAATCGTTGAGTTTCTTATGGAAGGGTTCCTCTACATTGAGCTGGTGGACCAATTCAGAAGTTAATCAAACGGCGTCGTCTACTTCGAGATTTATATTAAAGTTGCAGAAATAAGAGAAACGCCTTCGAGATTTATATTAAAGTTGCAGAAATAAGAGAAACGCGCACACGCCTTTTATAAGTTCAAACGGTGCCGTTTCACAATACTGAAAATTAAAAAAGTAGTTAATTTGGTTACAATTACACCGCCATGTTATAGCCGATCGACTAACACATAGACCAAGTCAAGCTTACAAATTTATCTAACCTCGACGTTAAATTTATGTCAAAACCCAAATCGAACATCAAATACGCAATCGAAATTTAGCATACAATGCTTCTACTTTCACCAAGTAAATAATGCTTATGAAGATGAATAGAAAAACTCATAACTTAAACGAAGAAATCGCTAGCTTTTCGACTAATCACATCACACCAAGTGGCAAACCAAATTGTACAATTATACAAACATCACAATTACAAACACAATAATTACACACACTAACCATCTCCAAATATGTACAAAGCTACATCCATATTAACTTTCTTTTTTTTTCCAAATTTACGTGTCGTTCGTTCGAGTATTTTCAAATTCCTAAATTACCCCCGAAGACTCGTCGAGAGAATTAAAGAAGCTTCATCATGAAATTAAACTCCATATCGGGTGAAATCTTGGGCTGAGGCCAATTTGCACCTTGTGGAACTTGAATGCATTTGAAGCCCTGGCTATAGTACAGCTCAGTTGCACCAGGGTTATTTACGTCACAATGCAATGCAACCGCTCGACACCCCCATAATTTAGCCTTTGCCTCGGCTTTAGCTATTAGCCTCTTTGCAACTCCCTTTCTACGGTGTATTCCTCGTACGGCAACGTTTGATATGTACGCTATTCCTGTCCTGTCCACAAAAAAAGGAAGATCGTAATTAACAAATTTCGAAAAAGGAAAAGAAAATCGGAAAAAAAAAAAATAATAATAATACAACTTTTCGGGAATCTGAATGATCGTAATCTACAAAATTCGAAAATTCCGTTTCGATTTCCGCCTGTAGTCTAAAACACATGACATTATTAATATTATACGCGTAATTTTCAGGGGGGGGATGGAATTAGTTTCGAAAATAAAATCGGAACGGATATCGGGATTTTATAAATAATTCCGACTCGGCGACTCCTATCCAAAAAAGTTCAAAATAATTGAAAACCGAAACAAACAAATTTATTTCAAATTTGGGAATTCCATTCCGATTTTCCATCCCAAAATTCATGGATAAAAAGAACACTCGAACATTACCTTCTCAGTCGAAGAGGACCTTTTCTGGGAAGAAAATCAGCTACAGTATCGACAGTCAAAATTCCAGCTATACACCCTTTACCGAGACTCAACTTTCCATCGAAACCTCCGATTTTGAAATCATCGTTCCATAAAAAGATCGAATCTTGACCGGAATTTCCAGTTACAGCAACTAGGCAAGTTCTTTTGCATCCCTTTGGTATCGAGAATCCAAAGAGCATTCCAATAAGCCTGTCGATTCTGAACACAAAATCGAGAGGAAAAGAATATTCCGGAAAGAAAGAACTGCAGTGTGTTTCGGCTACTTCCCAGCAGTCTTCGATCCTTGCCTCTCGAACAACAATTTCCGGTGATGTTGTCGGGAATAATTCAGCCACTTGGCTTGCTCTACAAACCCCTATAAAACAAAATAAAATTATTTTTCGATTACACACTTCAAAATCTGGACGATTTTCACCGATTCGGAAAGCTCAAGTTAGTAGATTCGAAGAGTTGTAAAGATCATTCGGACTTGTACGAAATCGAAGTAGCCCATTTGTAATTGGTTATATAGATCATCACTTCACAATATAACCAGCACATAACTACTTAGCAAAGATTCAGCAAAGATCACCACCACCCACCACACAGACAGACACTCAGACACGCACACACACACACACACACACACACACACATACACAAAGAAAAGAGGAATAGGAACTCATACCTGGTGTGTGGGGAGGTGAGAGAGAGAAGCCGCACGTGGGAACTGATGAAAAAGGTTGATTCTTGATTTGGGTGTTATTGAAATTGAGGTTGTGGTGGGTGATGATTCTATTCACAACTGTTGCCATCGGTGATGCCCTTCCCAAAGAAATCATCGCCATCTCTCACCAATTGCAATTGCAATTGCAATTGCAACCCTCTCTCTCTCTCTCTCTCTCTCTCTCTCTCTCTCTCTCTCTCTCTCTCCAACAGATGATGGAGAAAAGAGATGGAGAAAGAAGAACACTTGATTTTATTTCTGATTCTGGGCTTTTGATGTTTTTTTTTTCTTTTTGTCTGGGATGATTTGTGTTGAAAAACAATGTAATAAACACAGATTCTTTATTGAATTTATTTATTTTTTTTTTCTTGAAATTTGTTTTTATTAAGGTAAAGCGAAGAAGAAGACAAAAAAGTGTGTCTGATTCCGACCTTTTGCTTCTCAAACTAACCACCCTTCACAAATTCAATATTACATATGAGCCCTTTATATTTTAATATTAGCACATAACCCCCTTGTAGTTTCAAAAATTTCATCTCCCGATGAACATGATTATTTACCAAGTGGAACACCATAGGCGGGGTTATGTGCTTATATTATAACTGCAAAAGGGGTCATGTGCACAACATTGAAACTAAAAGGGGTTCAGGTGCTTATATTAAAACTAAAGGGGGTCATGTGCACAAAAGTAAAACAACAGGGGGTTAAATGTTATTTACACATAACAATGCCTTGTTACCAATTAGCAATATTTTTAGAATTTTTCCTATATTTTTGGGATCCATATTTATTAGAATATATATGAGATTTTGATTTTTTTTTTTATCTAATTTCACTTTTAAAAATATTTCCAAAAATTACATATCCCATATTAATTATGCATTTCCTATTATAGGTGTTTATCGAATGAATATTTAGAATAATTTTTTTCGTTCTAATTTTCAAATTAACCAATTTTAATGAATTATTTATTAATCAATAAAGTGCTACATAAATTTATTTCATGCGGTACAAAATTTGACCCGTACCAACCAATTTATGCGGGTCGGGTTGAGTGGGATTCAACATACCTCAATCAAAACCCGACTTGAATTATTGTTTTAATCGAATATTATTATTTTTCAGAGAGATATATTTTTTGAAGAAGAAAACAGTGAATCGAAGAAGAAGGGCGTTGATGAAAGAAAGGATGACCGGTGGAATAAACCGATCTACAAGCGCTGCTTCCAAGAACGCCCTTCCTCCTCAAGAACTCCTCGACGATCTCTGCAGGCAAGTGTATATATATATATATATATATATATATATATATATATATATATATATATATATATATATATATATATATACATACATGCGTATGTGTATAAATTTAGGGATTGCACTTCTACTATGTAATTCAATGCTCGATTCATTCAGATTAGTGAGGAAGTTTCAATTTTTCGTTCAATTTCTTGTGGGTTTAGGTATTTTCGTTCAATTTTTGGGGGTTTAGATATTTTTGTTCAATATTGTTGTTTAGTCCTTCCCCTATTTATTTTTTTCAATTTAGCTAATTTTGCTTTTAGCTCTCCGTTAAATTATATTGCTTCTGTTGCAGATTATGACTTTGCTTTTATTATGATCTTACTTTTCGATATTGTAATTGCAGTCGTTTTGTGCTAAATGTGCCCAAGGAAGACCAACAGTCGTTCGAGAGGATTTTGTTTCTTGTGGAGTACGCGCATTGGTTCTACGAAGATAACTCGGTCGAAAAGAATCCGTCTTTGAAGTCTTTAACTTTGAAGGAATTCACTTCGTTACGTATCCTTCAAATTGATTCGATTCGTTTTAAACTTGAATTGTTTTATTACGTACTATGTACTCCGATTTTTATATCCGTTGATTCGATTCAATTCCGGTTCTCCTTAATGAGTTACAGTGTTCAATAACTGCGATGTTTTAAAACCGTATGTTGCTCATATAGACGACATATTTAAAGACTTCACTTCTTACAAAGTAAGAGTTCCGGTTACAGGGGCTATTATACTGGACGAAACGTACGAAAGGGTGAGTTCTTTTTTACATAATTACTGCTATAACTTGTTATTATGTGGATAATTTTTTTTAAGAATTTTTTTTTGTTTGTTGTTCTCGTCTGCAGTGTATACTAGTGAAGGGATGGAAAGGGACGAGTTGGAGCTTTCCCCGTGGGAAAAAGAGCAAAGACGAGGAAGATCACAATTGTGCTATCAGAGAAGTATGCAAACTCGTCAAATAATATTTTCAATAATTTAATTTAATTTTAATTCAATGGTGATAAGAAATTGATTATTTTTATGAGATACAGGTTTTAGAGGAAACGGGTTTTGATGTATCGAAACTTCTGAGCAAAGACGACTACATAGAAATGACGTTCGGACAGCAGAGAGTGAGATTGTACATAGTTGCTGGTGTGAAAGAGGGCACGTCGTTTGCCCCCCAAACTAAAAAAGAGATTAGCGTACGTCGTTTTTCCCTCTGTTAAACAAGATTTGGTTTCCTCTGTTTTTATTGGCTTATTGATTTCGGCAGAATTATGTGATATTAGAGGTATCTTTTTAATGCAGGAAATTGCGTGGCACAGGCTTGATGAACTTCATCCTGCAAATGACGATGTTATATCTCGTGGGGTCACCGGACTGAAGCTCTACATGGTTGCCCCGTTTTTAGCGTGAGTATATATATATATATATATATATGGCATTTATATTTCTTTACATTTCCGAAATTCTCTCTTCTCTCTCTCTGAAAGGAGGTTGGCACTATTTTGCAGATCACTGAAGTCGTGGATATCCGTGCATCCTCCACCAGTGGCGCCTAGATTTGATAAACCTCTTAAAGGTCGGCTTTGCTCAAACCCTGTTTTATGATTTGTTTATACGTGTTGCGTTCAGTCATATTTAAGCTCCGTTTGGACAGTGGAAGAAGTTTCTTTGGACTAATATCATATCTGCTATTAGATTCGTTAATTGTGTTCTGTGTCTGAAACACGGATAATTTAAGAGTGCATCTGGATTGAAGGACGGGTTTTCTTGATTCAAGAATCTAGTTTACTCAATAAATAAAATATATTAAAAAAAAAAGATGTTTTTTTTTTCTTTCTTTCTTGATTCGAGTTTTGATTGTGACTAAATCTGATCTCCATGTTGCAGGACTTAGTGTGTGGAAGGTAAAAAATAGTTCATTGAGTGGAAGCTCGACAACGACAGAGAGCCAGCCGATTAAAGCTGTGGTGGAGGTTCATCATCAGTCCGAACCATCTGCACCTTCATATGCAGTATCTGCTGGCAGGAGCTTCAGAAACTTCCGGTTCGATACGGCTCCCATTTTCCAAGCAGTGGATGCTGCTTTCTCTACTTAGGCTGTTTGCCATAGCATCTTTTTTTTTTTTTGTGTACCTTAATATTTATCTGCAACTCCTTTTTAGTTGTAGTAGCTGACTTGCTGTATAGGGTGATTTGGTTTATCGTTTTTTTCTACTCTCTACTAATTACTTGGTAGTTAGGATTATTTATCGCTCTTCGTAAAATCGTAATGATTGTGATTGGGTTTCACAGTAAAATTTTGAAGGACCGAATCGAAATGGAAGTTTAAATCCATCATAAATAAGTTGGTGATTATGAATTAAGTTACTGAAACTCCGTGAAAAGTCAATTTTAAACAACTTATTTTATGAGAAGTTGCTATATGAGTGCTTTTTACGTTTTAGCTTAAAAGTGGCTTATTTTACGAGAAGTGGAAGCTTAAAAACTGATACTACAAACACTTCAAGATGACCTGAGCTGAAAAAAGCTTAGAATCACTTTCAACAACTTTTGCAAACACCACCATAATAGATTAACGAAAAATTAACAAACGATTATATGATCTTCTAAAATGCTCTCCCTCTAATACACCTCTCCCCTAACGCACCAAGCATGTGAATTAATTCGCAGCAGCTAAGTTGCTAAAAAAACACATCATACGAGATTTTACGGTTTCTGAGGGACCGAAGTACTCAGAAACTATTAAGAAGTTTTAACTCTTTTAAGACAGTTTAGTTTAGTTCTCCCACAACAAACAAAAACACATTAACCAAAAATAAAAATAAGAAAAAAGGTAAAAAAAATAAATAAAAGGAAAATCGAAACCTACACAAGCCAGTCGCACTGAAGAAACTGACTGCAGTTCATGCCATTCAAACGGTTCGATATTATCATATCTTCAGATCTTTTAAGCCTTCAATCTCCGCCGAAGTCTCTTCAGCAGATGCTTGTGAACTTGCAGGTGGAGTACTAACCTCAGAAACTGTAGCCTCAGCTTGAACTGTGGGGACCACTTCAGACGAGGGTAGAGAAACAGGTGGCTTCTCTACTTCAACCGTTGGGGATTTCGAAATTCTTGGATCCTCGATTTTAACTACTACATTTCCCGTTGTTCGCTCCTTCATCCGAACAGGAGCAGCAAATGCAGGAACGGAGTGCCTCACACACACTGGCGGTGCAATAGCCGGTGCTGGCGGCACCAACGGCATCATCACTAGTGCCGCCTGTGGTGGTGGCGGAGGAAGTGGTGGTGCGGAGAAAACGGGAATCATATTCCGTACAGTCACCGGTGCGGCGATTCTGCTGTGTGGGTTGCAGTGGCGGACCGGAATGTAGGGTGGTGCCGCCGCTCCTGCTCCGGGGAATTTATGTGGCCGGAGATTGAAGCTGCTGTCCATCAATGATGAGTGCTGCTGGCTTTGAGTTGTTATAACGGGCCTTTGGAATGTGGGGCCGTTGCTGTTTAGTGGTGTAACGGGCCTGTTGCGGTAAGCTGTTTTGGGGCATATCAAGGGGAGGATTTTCGATGATGTGGCGGGAGACTGGTGGGAGATTGACGGTGGCCTTGGGTTTAGTGTGGGGAAGTTTATTGGGAAAGACAGTCTTGCTAATCTTGCCTTTATTATATACTTCTGCAGAGCACGAGCTACAGAGACGTGCTCCTGCTCATCCTTGTGTGTCTTTTCATATGGAGTTTCAGTTTGCTGCATTACTGGAGAGAGAAGAAAATGCACAAGAGTATCGAGTATTAGAGCTTTAGAAAATGCAAAAATAAGTTAATTTTTGACATAGCAAATCTTTAAGGAATCTAGAGATTTGAATAAAGGTAGTAATATCTTAGATAGAGAGGGAAAGAAAAATGTAATGAGGCATTCCCATTGGCTGAAAAGCTAACTATGCCATGAATTTGAGAAACATTGCGTAATTAGGAGCTTTTATAAATCAAATTATGCAGTTTGCCATTAAATTCCAATAAATAGCAAAATGAAATTAGAGCTATATCAATTTATCATCAAAGCAATTAACATGGACCGGCATTACAGTTAATTGAATTAGTTGCGCACATAATTTTACAATAATGGTTCCCATAGAATTGAACACTTTCTGAACACATCCCACTGGCATAGATACTACATCACACACACACACACACACACACACACACACAAACACAAACACACACACACACACACACACACCCCACAGACTCACAAAAGCTTAGTACTTGCTTGATTGAAATCATTTTCTTCTATTAATTCATGAAATTTGAAAAAAAGGTAGAAGGATGATAGGAATGTAAAAGCGGCACGCATGTTCTACATATTTTAACCGACTTTGAAATGATTTCAAGAAAATCAAGAACAACTTTTCTTTTGGGAAAGGACACGTTGAGTTCTTACGGATCAGTCTTTTTTTGGCCTAATTGACAAAGTGAGTTTATTTTTCTTCTGTTTTACGAAACTCCATTCTATCATATTTTTTCCTGTCCAGTTTCTGCTCCTAAAATATACTTTTTTTGCAGGTAGTATTTTGACTCGTACTGACATTTATTATGGAATAACAACATTCACAACGAAAGAATGAAAGATGAAATATCTGGTACACCCCTGAAACCATATCTAGATTACTGAAACATGGATCACTTACATGATTTGAGAGATAACCAAGCTGCCATGGCCGCATTCTTTTCTGCTTGCTTCTTGTTCTTAGCTGGCTCGCCAGTAAATATAACGCCTGCCAACTCTACAGTACCGGTAAATACTGGAAGGTGTCCTAGACCAGTTCTGAAAGTTGTATAAGCAGGCAAAGATGCTCCCACTCTTTGTGACACCTCCTGCAAGAGGTTCTTATATACGCCTGTCTCGTCCTGTAGTACACGGTTCAGCACAATAGCAGCATTAGCTAGAAGTCAAATTAAAATGAAAGAGTATAACATGATTTTCGGTTTTTTTTTAAAACAGAAATACACGGCAGTTTTGTTTCCGAATATCAGATCACAATTAAGATTTGTCTATAATTTGTAGATTAGCTATGTCAATTCATATTGTGATACAAATTGGCTCATTATCTTCTCTAATATCAAAGCCATCAGGCGATAAGAGTGTGTGAACTATTGCATTTGTGTGTAAATTTTGCAATAAATGGACTATTATTAAGTCGAACTTAGAAAATAGTCATAATAATCATAAGACATAATGATAATAAATTCTCGGTTTTTCCTACTCCAGCGCTCTCTCAAGTTTGGTTGGCCATGTAGCACTCCATCTTGTTAGTGATTCGAAAGCATCAACTCGTAAAAAGTTAGCTCACTTGATCTCAGAGTAATTGGTCATTTGACCTAGTCCAGGGTTTGGTGATAAGGCTTGTGTTTTTTTTAAGTACGTAATTTTAGCATGTTGGCCTAAGATTATAATCTTGTTAAGAATTCCATGATTATGACTTTATGAGTGATTTAGGTGGTTAATGGAATGGCAGAAGAATTTAGAAAGTTCCGACTTTTCAAGAACAGAAGCATCATATGGGGGGAAAAAAATTGAAAGCTGAAATCTAATTTACATTTAATGTTTTTATTGAACTATAATGCAGTTGGATTTACTTAAAAAATCGACTTCATTGAAACCACGCTTGTTTAGACTCGAGCCCATTGGATTCACTTAAAAACTCAACTGAATTGAAACCGACCTTGGATAAACTCAAGCCCAAACATCCTACACGAGTTAAGAAGATGTGAAAAGGGATAGGCTGCGTCATTTAAATTACTCAATTCGTTTTACACAAAAAGCTAGATCCTACCTGTATTAGTAACGGATGCATTGCGTTATATGGGCCCACTGTATGAGTAAAAGCAAAACATTTTTTTCATGCAAATGCTGATATGTAAAACACGAAAACAGTGTGCTGGCTTCTGGCCGACAAAAAAGGGACCAATAAATTTCAAACGGTTCCAAGGCTTCCATTTAAATTCATTGGCTGTCATCAGCCAATTCTAAGCCGAAAACTGTCGTCTACATTGAGAAGTAGACAAAATGCTTACGGTGCTACCAAAAGGCCATGGAAAACGTGATTCGGCAAAACGCGACACGTCTCCGTATAGACTTACCTAAAGCATTAAATTCTCGAGGCAAACAAATCTTCACATATTATTACTAAAACCATTGGTTTATTATATAAGAGCTAATCCTACATCAATTAAGCGCATTAGGTAATAAAAAAAGAGGATAAATAGATTACTTCAAGAATTGAAACAATAACTTTCTACTTATGATGTCCATAGCCCTAATATAAACATGCTCAAGACGGACTAATTCTCTCACAAAACAAATGTGAAAACTCGCACCGCTCACAATAAAAGTCCAATTCATCCTCGGATTCGTCTAAAACATAAGCAAACAAGTCAGCATTTATAGTTATTATTCCATTTTCTCTTAATTCCACCTAATAGCTCACCCGCACATTTATTAATAAAAAGACGCTCGTAATTAACTCCACAGCTGTTCATCGTAACACAAGGCTACATACTAACTGTCAATCCTTATCTCCAATTTTTTTTTTTCTTGCAATTCCCATTCACAAATAATCCAATAACATAGAACACCATGAAGGAATCCCACTCCATGCAATGAATAATTATAATGTTAAACAAGAAATGAAAATTATGAGATGTCTTTTCTTTTTTCTTTTTTTCCCAAAAATATAACAAACATAATTAAAAGTTCAACAGGACAAATAAAATATACCAGAATTCTGGCGGCGAGTGAGTTAGAAGGGCCGCGGTTAGCGAGTGCATTGAGTGCCACCTCAGCAGCAGAGTGTTCTGCCTGACGGAGCGTCGAACAGAAGCTAGGGCTCTCAAACGACTCGCCGTTAAAATTAACGGCGGCCTTGAACCTCGGCGCGTGATCGGGACCTTCTCTGATGCACATGTACGACGGCAGATTGAAGCAGCTCCGCTGCGCCAGCTCCTGAAGCTGGTTCTTGTACATCTTCACACCGACCAAAAATCCAAAAAAAAAAAAAAAAAAAAACCAAAAAAAAAAATTGAATTAAAACTAAAGTAACAGCACTAAATTTTCACAAATTTTGTATCGATGCGCTCTTGTAATTGCGAAAATGTATCAGATCATTGGCTCAAACGAGACTCCAATTGAGATCGGAGAGGCTTTTAATCAGTGTTTTCTGGTTTTTCATTAGGGTTTTTGGTCGCATTTCTCGAAATACAGGCTGAGTTTTTCGGTGAGCTTGTTTAGAGAGAGAAAAAGGTTTTAGAGAGAGAGAGAGAGAGAGAGAGAGAGGAGAGAGAGGACTTTTTGTAAATTTTTTTGCTGTGCAGTAATAGTTTCGCTTTAAATACAACTTATGATAGATAGAGAGAAGAGAGAGAAAGAAGAGAGAGAGAGAGAGAGAGAGAGATTCTAGAGAGAGAGATTGTACAGACACAATGGTGGGAATCTTACAATACAATCAGTTCCACGGTTAGATTTAGTCACCATAAAAATACCTTAGTCGGATTTGTAGAATTTAATGGTAAAAATTTTACTTTAATTTCAAAACCATCCATTTTTAGAAAATTTAATTTGAACTATATAATTATATGAACATATAAAATTTGGTTTACTACGTGAGTTGATTAAAATGCCACCAAATATGATTTATAATCATATATTCTAATTACGATATTGATTTATATGCTTATAAATATACATAGAGGTGTATTTCATCGAGTGTAATTTAATTCTGCATTTTTTTTTCTCATGTCATTCTCGTCGAGAACATTGAATGATTAATATCATATTCAAGCAAGCTTTGTATACCCGAATCACAATAAAATTTATAAAAATATATTGGTTTTATATTTTTATAATAGGATTTGTATGTAGAAAAAAAAATATAATTGTCTTTTTTACAACAAAGGCAATTTAATTCCTTTTTGGTTTGGTTGTATGTTATTAATAAGACCTTTTTTTCTAAATTAAAATAAAATAAAAACTAAATCTTTTTTATTTTTAGAGGAACGAAAATATTAAATGGATTTATGCAGTTTAAGTATATAGTAGAATCTCGATAAATTAATAATTTTGTTTAAATAATAATTTTTTCTTGTCCCGATTTGTTGACAACGTGTTAAAATTTCAATTCGATAATTTAATAGATTTTTTTTTTAATTCTGACTGCAATTTATAGAGATTTAACTGGAGATCGAATTCATAATTAAGCACTAATCCTAGTTTAATGAGTATGTATATAGATTTGTTGACCAATCAAAATTGAGTGGTGGGTGGAGTAGGGTGGGGTAGAGTGCATGGGAAAGTGGCATGGAGAATTTAATGAGTAGGTTTGGAGAAGGAAAGTGGGGTTTAAATGTGCTTAAATTGATGTTTGCATTTATAGGTAACATAAATATATTTTACACAAGTGCTCATGTAATAATAAACCACACTTTGTAATCATTAATTGTCTTTATTAACACTTTTTTTCTTCTATTTCCACATAGCCCATCATCATAACTTATGTAATAATAATATACAAATCTTCATATTTTTATTAAAATAAATAAATTAATCTTAGGATGGTCAACTACCATGAAGAAATAAATATGGTCCTAATTGAATTTAATATAGATTTGGTTATACATAATTTTAATTTCTATGAATTTTAATTATATGAAAGGTTAGACAACTAAATAGCGGGAAAATTACAGCTTCCATGCTTCAAGTTTGCACTAATTTTATATTTGGTCCCTCATGTTTCAAATAATTTAATATTTTTATCATTTCTTCAATTTAACGTTGGTCCGTCAGTTAAGATAGTGACGGGCACAAATTTAATTCCGTTAATACTAATGGAAGATTGACGAAAATGACGAAAAGTGTTTGTTTTTTTAAACATGAGAGACTAAATGTGTTTTTTTATGAACATGATGGACCAAATATGAAATCGATTTAAACTTAAGGGATGATGCGTAATTGTTTTTTTTACTTTATTTCTAGACGACGCCATGCTAATATTATAGGGCCTTGTATATAGATAATGAATTGATTTGGGCTTCATAAAGTTCATTCATATAATTGGGCCTCTTAAAAGGCCTTATATGTAATTGATCAGCCCAAAAAATATTAAACTAATTAAATATCAAATATCCAATTACTAAATTAACTATTCTTTACTTTACCATCGACAAGAGATTAATAGTATTTATTTTTCATAAGAATTCATTTGATACGATTTGTCAAAAGTTTTGCTTAAAGCTAATGTCATTAAGAAAGAAAAAAAAAAATTAGCTCGAAGCTAATTTCGTTAGGTGAGTAATAAAATTATTTTTCGATAGTTAAAAGAACGGCAACTCACGACCATCTCTTTGAAGTAAGGTCAGATTACGAAAAAACTCATTTTGTTTGGGTAATTACAACCAACTACCTCAACTGTATATTTTTTTATATGTCCACCCTTACACGTCAAATTTATCAAAAAAAAGAGAGGTTTTTTTTTTTTCTTTTTTTTTTTTTTTTTTTAAAAAACACCATATTAAAGGGAATAGATGTAATCACTCAAACGGGAAGGAGATTTTCGTAATGCGATCTTACCTCAGGGCTGACCGTAATTCACCTTTACAAGAACTGTAATGAGTTTGATTTAATAAAAAAAATACAAAAATTCCGTTAGGTGAGTAATAAAAATATTTATTCATAATATGCTTTATTTATTTACATTTTCGGCGATCCTTAAAACGATACACTATTCGAATTTCATACATTCATTTTAAATAGTTTATAACACTACAATTAAATAAATTAAAATTAATATTTCTATTGTAATACATATCTTTTATGTCTTATGGACTAAGCATTGTAGTGCCACCTAATAATACGTGTCACTATCTCCGTATGTTTATCTTAGACTAGCATGACAAATCTTGTAAATAGTTGTATATATATATGTGGCTTTGTGAATGAAAATGGAGGAGTGGCTTTTGGCTACTGTAATTTACACTTCTCACGAAAGCATCACTGTTCTCTTATACTTATTAATAATATAAGTATTTATATGTTTTATCTTGTGATCTAATATAGTTTATTCTATAACACGTTATCAGCACGAGATTTTGCTCGATAGGGATTTGCTATTTTCGTATTCTTCTTTCTATTTTATTTTACGAAAATCCAGATCCTCGATTTATTGTCGAAAAGACAAACGAGAATGATAAGCGAATACTTCGGTATTTTATACGCTATCATTTCTCAAAGGATATGATGGATTCGTGTATATGTATATACATATAGCTTATATACTATCTGAATTGCTGCTGAAATTTATATTTGTAAGCTTGTGGATCCCAATCAATGCTATAAGCACGTGCTAATTTTAACAGATCTGTGGGCCGACTTAGAGGCCAAGATATTAACTCCGAGTATGATGCTCGTCGAGTAAAAGATATAATAATCTCAGTTGAAAGTCGATTTAGAGACTATGAGATTAACTCCGAGCCTGATGCTCGTAGAGTTGGAGAAATGATAATCTCCATTTAAAGCCGATTTAGAGGCTATCGTTTTAACTCCGGGCATAGTACCCGTAGAGCTTAACAGAGACCGTATAGAGGTCATACTATAACTCCGAGTCTGAAACTCGTTGAGTCAAGACGTTGGAATTCCCGTCATATAAATGAAATATAGCTCCGAGTTTAAGCTCGTTGAGACAAGAAAGCCGATTTAGAGGCTTAATCTTTAATATCGCTCCGAGTCTAAACTCGTTGAGACAAGAAAGCCGATATAGAGGCTAAACTGTTCATATAACTCCGAGTCTAAGCTCGTTGAGATAAGAAAGCCGATTTAGAGGCTAAACTGTTCATATAACTCCGATTCTAAGCTCGTTGAGATAAGAAAGCCGATATAGAGGCTAAATCTTAAATACAACTCAGACAAGAAAGCCGATATAGAGGCTAAATCTTAAATACAATTCCGAGTCTAAGCTCGTTGAGATAAGAAAGCCGATTTAGAGGCTAAATCTCTAATATAGCTCCGAGTTTAAGCTCGTTGAGACAAGAAAGGCGATTTAGAGGCTAAATCGTTAATATCACTCCGAGTCTAAAGCTCGTTGAGACAAAAAAGTCGATTTAGAGGCTAAATCATAAATATATCTCCGAGTCTGAAGCTCGTTGAGTTAAGACGTGATAATATCCGTCAAAAGCAGATTTAAAGGCCAAACATCTGAAAATATCTCCGAGCCTGAAGCTCGTTGAGTTAAGACGTGATAATATCCGTCAAAAGCCGATTTAAAGGCCAACTATCTGAAAATATCTCCGAGCCTGAAGCTCGTTGAGTTAAGACGTGATAATATCCGTCAAAAGCCGATTTAAAGGCCAACTATCTGAAAATATCTCCGAGCCTGAAGCTCGTTGAGTTAAGACGTGATAATATCCGTCAAAAGCCGATTTAAAGGCCAACTATCTGAAAATATCTCCGAGCCTGAAGCTCGTAGAGTCACTAGAGGAGGTAAAACCCGTCAAGAGCCAACTTAGAGGCTATTAATCACAAGTCCAAATTTAAAGGGTTTTGGGTTATCTTGTACCCAGTGTATATATATCTCTCTCGGAAGATGTGATTCCCGAGATTGAGTTATTTTGTGTGTATCCATGTTTAACCTCTCTTGGATGGTGTGATTCCCAAGATCGAGTTGTTTGGGTAAACCCATATGTACATATCTCCCTTGGAGGATAAATACCCGAGGTCGAGCTGATTTTTGATTACGCGTACATGAAAACATGGACAAATATGACTATTGTCTACTTGATAGTGCAACTACACACTCAATATTCAATAATAAAATATATTTCTCGAGTGTGACTTTGTGCAAGGCACAAGTTAAAATCATATCAGATCCCATGGAGATAATAGATGACTTCGGGAGTGCAACAATTATGTTGCCTAATGATACTACGTATGCTTATTATATACGCGAAATATAGCATTTGCTGGCACATATTATTGTGCAGCACTGGGCATAAATGTCGATCACCCAGTAGCATACGTTCACACTCAAAATGGACTGGCGGAATCTTTGATTAAACGCGTCCAAATAATTGCTCGTACATTGCTGATGAGATCTAAACTCACTAGTGCAGCATGGGGCCATGCAGTATTGCATGCATCAGCACTGATTAAATTACGGCTCACTGCTTATCATATGCATTCCCCAATGCAATTGGCATTAGGCTTTGAGCCCGATATTTCGCACCTTCGCACATTTGGTTGTGCTGTGCAAGTGCCAATTCCTCCTTCTCAGAGGACTAAAATGGGTCCCCAACGCCGGCTTGGCATATACGTTGGGTTTGATTCACCGTCGATTATTAGGTTCTTGGAACCAATGACGGATGATTTATTTACCGCTAGATTTGCGGATTGTCATTTTGATGAGACATTATTTATACCGATTGGTAAGGATATTCAGAATATCCGTGATAATGATAAACAAAAATCAATCGAGAATCTCACATGGTGTGAGCAACATTTATCTCATCTCGACCCACGTACCTCTGAATGTGAAAATGAGATCCATAGAATCATTCATTTACAAAATATTGCCAATAGACTTCATGATGCATTTAATGATGCCAGTAAAGTCACGAAGTCTTATATTCCAGCTGTGAATGTGCCAGCTAGGATCGCTGTTCCTGAAGAACATGCGAAAATGAATGATGATCCCCCACGACAAAAACAGGGTAGACCTATTGGATCAAATGACGTAGTTCCTAGAAAAAGAAAGGGGAAAATCAATGAACCCTCAAATGAGGCGATTCCTAGTGAGAATGATCCAGATGAATCTGTTGAGCCTGATATCGAAAAAGTCGATATCAAATCTCGGGAATACCGAGAATCCCATAAGTTATTGCTATGAAATATGGGATATAAATGAGATAATCATCGATAATATTTTTACATTCTATAATTGATCAATAGATTGTCTACGATGATTATTACAGTGAATAATGACTCACTGTTTTGTAATGGTGCAGGTACATCTTGTTGATTTACCAAACAGACATGTCCACTGTCGCGATAATGTTAATTATATAGTGCAGGGAAGAGTCAGATACATAAAAGGCGATCGAACCAAGTCCTTCCCAACTTCTGCATTTGAGAAATCGGCATACGATGTTGGAATGAGAAGAGCCGATATGGAGAAAGATTGACAGCTCACTCAGAGGTTTACAATGCTCATTTCAGGGGGAGCAATAGTGCGCTGCACTCTTTTTCCCTTTTGACTGGTTTTGTCCCATTGGGTTTTCCAGCAAAGGTTTTTAACGAGGCAGCTTATGCACACGGCTTGGATTGAGTTATGCACTCTTTTTCCCTTCTGACCGGTTTTGTCCAATAGGTTTTCTGGCTTGAGGTTTTTAACGAGGCATACATACATTTTACTCATCCAATTACAGCCGATATACTAATGCTTAGTCCAAGGGGGAATATTGTAATACATATCTTTTATGTCTTATGGACTAAGCATTGTAGTGCCACCTAATAATACGTGTCACTATCTCCGTATGTTTATCTTAGACTAGCATGACAAATCTTGTAAATAGTTGTATATATATATGTGGCTTTGTGAATGAAAATGGAGGAGTGGCTTTTGGCTACTGTAATTTACACTTCTCACGAAAGCATCACTGTTCTCTTATACTTATTAATAATATAAGTATTTATATGTTTTATCTTGTGATCTAATATAGTTTATTCTATAACAATTTCAACTTTATTTGGGCTAATTTTTCTCAAGAAAAAAAAAGGAAAAACAAAAAACGTTACGTGGCTATTTCAAGAAACCCTAAAATAAAAATTGCCAAAAGGACCCTAACTTATCACTTATTCACACACAAACCTTTTTGTTTTTCATTTTTATAGAAATACCCACACATAAACTTTTAAGAGTACAAGTTGGTTCAAGGGTTGAACCCTAGTTAAACCCCCTTTCCGATTTTCACAACTCCGCAACAGAAAGCGAAAAAACGAGCATGGGGAAGCTAGGGAAGAAGGCGAGGAAATTTGCGAAGAAGCATCTTCAGTCCGTGCTGAGGACGCGCCGAAAAACTAAGCCTACATTCAAAAAAAGAGGCCCCAGTAAGCAATTATTCTGCTTTTTTTTTTTTTAATTGATTATTTTGTAGATTCGTTTGTTATTTTTCTTCAATTGCTGTATATTGATGTGCTGGTAGAAAAAAGTAATCGACTTGATGTTTATTAAGAACTTATCAGCACACTGTTCATTTAGGCGTCGTTTGGTTTGGGGGATTATCCATTATTAATTAAATAATTGAACTTTGTTTGATGTTTGGTATCCTCAATAACTTGTCGGGTCGACCCGCAAATATGATGTTATCATGGTTTATTTTGCCTTCTAGACAATAATCCAATTAAGTTTCAGTAGATTATTCAATCTTATCTTGCCTAATCTTATCCTGACAACCAAACGAAGCCTTAAATTAGGTTATCTGATGCGTTTCGGAATTGAAAATGGGTAGGAATTAGATGTTTACATGGCAGATATGACATGAGATTGCCGAATTTTGTTACAGACTTGCAGTATTGTTTATATGAAACATATAACTTAACGGATTTTCGAGTTTCAGTTTTCTGTGAGTGTTGATTTTGCTTTTTTTTCTTTTTGGTTCGCCCGTTAGCTCAAGAAGATGTAATGATTTATAATTTCTTTTTTTTCCTGGTGCAGAAAATGGACAAAAGGGGATTGAGGAAAAAGTGGATAAGTCAGCCGTGATTTCTAATCTATTCAGGATTCGAGCTTCCCGATTGTTGGGGAAAGTGAGACTGCGAAAACTCTAGAAGGTAGCTTTTTCGATGGATAATCTGAATTGTTGTGACCCTTTTTTTTTTACGTCCCTATCTTGCGTTGCATTTTTTCAACTTGTTTACCATGACTACTATTGTTGGATTAGCATCATTAATTTTTTTTTTTAATATTCGTGCAGATGAAATTGCTACTACTACCTATTCAACTCAGAATAAGAAAATTCATGCCGATCTTTCCACTGCGAAGAAGAAATTGGATAAGTTGAAAAAGAAGGTAACTTTTTTCCAATTTGTTTATATAGATACCTTTTATTAATTGATTTATACTTATTGGACAACAAGATGATTATTCCCGTGGTTGCATGGTCATATATAGGCATGCAGAGAATGACATAATTTCACAACCAATAATACATATACATACATATGTGTATGCATATGTGACTAGTGTTTCTATGCGTGTGCATGCACCTCGCTTTGTATCTAAATAAAATACCTAACTCTGTTACTTCTTGAATAAAGATCTCCGGGTATTGGATTACCGCAAGATACCCATTAGAGCAAATTAGTCAAAAATACCCTTCCGTTGCTGCGTTCTGTAATTTCTGTGTCTTAAGTTCTTTATCTTTTGAAGTTGTTAATAAAAGTTTTTTTTTTCTTGAGAAATTCAGGATCCAGAATTCAGCAAGTTCTTAGAAAGTTTCAAGAACAGTGCTGAATCGTTTCAAGATGATGAGGCGGTAAGATATCTATTCACTATGCATTTTTTCTTTTAATCATAATAGCATCCAACCGAAGGTTAAAATTTGAGCTTTTAATCTATGTCCAGTGATATCTATCCTTTTCTGGAGATAACACTATTTTTTCGTGTCTGTTCTTTTTCCAACAGTATTCAGATGAAGGTGACTTGAGCGATCAAGAGGCACAAGGCGAAGACGACAGCATCAAACACAAACCGAAACTCTTGACTGATGATGTCATCAACGCATGGTGTCAGATGGTCAAAGAAGACAATAACCAGTCAGCCCTCATTAGTCTGCTAAATGCTTACCGTGCAGCTTGTCACTATGGAACCGAATCAATCGGCCATATGATTGAGAACAGTCAATCCTTTTGCAATATTCTGCTTTTCACGCTCTCCAATGCAGATGATGTATTTCGAGGCCTGTTACAGATGTCATCTTCGAAGAGCAAAAAAGAGACGCTAACAGAACTGAAAAAAACCTCGAAATGGAAAAGTTTGAAACCGCTAGTCAAGTCGTTTCTGAGAAGTACGATGTTTCTGTTGAATCAAGTTACTGACTCGGACATTTTGACTTTTGCAATGACGAGGCTCAGAGCATCTTTGACTTTCTTCGACGCCTTCCCATCACTAGTACAGCCACTAATTAAGGTAACCTATATTCGAAGATTTCGTGTACAACGTTTTTTTCTTTTAGCTCCAATTTGCTAATATTCAATTCCTTAAGAAGATAATTCAGATATATTACGGGTCTACTGAGAAATAGTACGAAGACTGAAAAGCTCAATTTGTAAATCAAACGCAATTAATTTTTTATATTATTTTATTCTCACCTATTTCCGTCACTTCAATTTTTTTAAAACAGGCAGCTGTGCATTTGTGGGCGACAGGTGGACCAATATTATCATCAGCTTCGTTTCTCGTCATAAGGGATTTTGCTACTATGTTTGGTTCCAAATACTACGACACCTGCCTATCAAAAACCTTTGTCGCCTTTATTTCCCGGTCTAGAGTAACAGAAATTGCCGACATCAAACATATGCAGTTTTTGAGGGACTGCGTCGTCGAGTTATTCTCTGTAAACGTGAAAAAATCATCTCTCAAATCCGTTGAATCCATGACTCGATTTTCAAAGATACTGATCTGCGGCTTCCAAACAAAGAAGAAGGTACGATTTCCACTTCAATCATTTCATCGAACTATTCGAATATAATCAATGATCAAGAATATTGAACAACGTTCTTTTGACAGGAAGCTATTAAAAAGATATGCAGTTGGGAATACATTAACTGCATCGATCTGTGGGTTAGGTTCATATCAGCAAACATACGTGACCATGATAATAAAGATCTTCAGTATTTGTTCTTTATGACTATTCAACTTATCGTCGGTCTCGCTAATATGTTTTCTGGTCCAAGATATTTCCCTTTACGACTCAAGTGCATTGAGTGGCTCAATAGTCTTTCAATTTCCAGTGGAGATTATATTCCACTCGCTCCGTTAGTGCTCGATATTTTGGAGTATAAAGTTGTCAAGGAGGGGAAAAGAGCTCAAAATGCCTTCAATATTGGATCGGTCTTGAAGGTTCGGATACACAAAAAAAAAAAAAAAATCTCGTTTCTTTTTTCTGGATTTATTGCGCGTGTTAACATTCGTTGTCTGTCATTGTGAATGGTGTTGCAGTTGCCCAAACAATATCTAAAATCTAGAATCTTCCAAGACATATGCTTTCAGTCGGCTGTTGAGCAGCTGTGCCTGCACTTTGCTCAGTGGAGCTACCATATTTCATTTCCCGACCTAGCTACTATTCCGCTAATCCGATTGAGAAAGATTCACGAGGCCGCAACTATAGAAAACTTGCGTCGTATGTTGAAGCGTTTGATTGATCAGGTATTCGTTTCTTACTTGCACTCTATATGTAATGCAACTTATGGCTTTTCAAACGAGTCTATTTGCATGTAAAAGTGTCTAATTGCTGGGAGTGCTTACCTTCTGTAACGGCAGGTGGAGCAGAATGTTGACTTTGTGCAGAGAAAAAGAGACGAGGTTTCTTTCTCCCCACATGAACACGAATCTGCGGATTCTTTTCTTCAGGTTTGTTTCCCACGAATCGTATTTCAGTAAATTATTGGATATAATTTTTGACGTAATGTAATGGTTAAATATTTGTACAGCTCGAGAAGTCCAGTACCAATGCTTCATTTACTCAATATTACAAAAGTATCCTGGACAAAGCTGCGGAAAGGAAATTGCAGAAATGTGGAGATATAAGGTACGGTTACATCTAACAGTAGTTATCTTAATCACCGTTTTATTGATTTGATCGATAGGATAACATAATTTCTCACCATTTCGTAATAGTTTATATATCTCCAATTGCTTTATTCTTTTGAAGAAAATAGTTTTTTATTTTATTTATTTATATACCTGGATAAATAGTTGTTGTCTTAAATGATAACAGCCCCCAAAACATAGAGAATGGATAAATCAATTTAATTTTAATTCTTTTTGTGTGGATACAATCAGTTCATTATTACTTTAAACTAATTAGTATCCCTCTCCCTATTTTTTGATTTTTAAATGTTTCAATAGTTCTTCAACTTGTTTTTTTTGGTATTCACTGTGTAATTATACTGGCCGCACTACTTTAATATTTTATCCGAATAATCTAGTTTTAGCAATTGTTCAATGTTATTGCAGTTTGCCAGAACAACGAAATTTGAAGAGAAATAGAGTAGAGCCAAAAAGAAAACCTGTTGGTGCGGAGGATCACCAAAATGGAGTCGCGTTTGAAAATGGAGTCATGGATACTAAGCGGA